CTGCAGAGAGAAGGCAAACTTGTCACCAACTATATCAACCCTTTTGGCCAGCGTGGTATAGTAGACCAAAACCTCCTTTCTAAGGTGAGGCCTATGTCCAGCAGTGGAGTATTAAAAGCTGTTGATGTGAAGATGATATGTACACTTCAACGGAATTTGTTTGGAAACAGTAAACAATACTTTTTTTATTTCCTGACTTAAATCGTAATTGATCTCTCGCTTATAACCAAACCAATGTAAAACGGATGTGGAAGCATCTTACTAGTTTCGAAAATATTCGACGGATCGCAAAAACAGAAATTGCACATAAATGTTGTACAAAATATATAATGTTACATGCAAACAAAACGGTTTTAATATGTTTGATTTGATGATTTATAGTTGTATATGACCAGTACTTCAGTGTATTTAGCAATTAATATACAAAACAGTTTAAAATCTATGTGATAACAAATATATATATATATATAGTTAACTAGATAACTATCACATGTATTAACAGTGGAGGAATTTGTACTACTTTACTATGGGATTTTATCGGTAATAGAGCCTTTCAAACATATCTTACATATAATATAGTTTCTTTTTTCTTTCTTTTCATGGTATAAGGGGGCAACTGAGCAGACGGGTCACTTGACGGCAAGCAATTACCACCGCCCATGGACACCTGCAGCTCAAAAGTGACAAGTGCGTCGCCGCCCTTGGAGTCCCTCCCGCTCGTGTTGGGGGGAGTTAGGCTCCGGTAACCTCACTCACTCATTGAAAGGCAACGGTTTTCTATGAGGCCGTGGTATCACTCCGGCCGAGCCGGCCCATTCGTGCCGAAGCATGGCTCTCCCAGGGTAAATATATGATGGGATCACAATTTGTTATGCCCTTATTTTTATTTGAATAAAAACTTAATCTGCAGATGATGTATCTAAGGAAAATGTAATTTTCTAAATTTAATTTTTGTTGAAATTTGGTGAGCAGTTTTCTTGGTAAATTTTTTAGGAATGAAATAGTACTTTAATATGGTGTCGTAAATTATTTATATCAATTAAATTTTTATGTATAAAATGTGTAATGCGAGTGTTACAACAGCACTAATTTGATATTAAAAGAACAGTTCTACATAACCCTTCATTTTCTTTATTGTATCTTATTCATTATTCTTTATTATGTATTATATATGTATATTAATAATAAAATGTATTGTTTGAAAGGCTCTTAAACTGTACAAGTACTTCAATTCACAAGTATATTTACAATAATTTACAAAACAGTTAACTTACAGAGTTAATTTAAAACAAAATATTTGAACTTTACAATTCTCTTTGCTTTTTTTTACTTTACACGTGTCTTATACTTAACACGTTATACTAATGGTCCCCTAACTCGAACCATACACAACTTAAACAAACTAAATGAAGTGAAAGACCAATAAATAAAGTATAGCTATAGTTCAGACAGTGTGTTAATTTCAGATCAACTAGCTTTCGTCGTTGCTATTGGTGAAGATTTCAGTGCGGGCCAATCGATCTGGAACACACACTGGGCCCTCAGGTGTACTGAATGTGAAGAGCTATCCATTGTCAAATAAAACTGTTCAAAAATGAGTTTAAATAGAATAAGTTGCCAATATTTTTCAATAAAAAATATATGGCCATGGTTTATACCAATTTTTTACCGGTTTAAAAGAAAGGAGCTTCTCAATTCGTTTGTTACCTCTGCCATTTATAAATCGACTTACTTAAGACTTCGTCTGCGTGGTGTTCGCCATCAGACATTGTAGAGGATACAATCAATTAAGATTATAGGTATATATATAAAAGAAGATACAAAGTAAAGAGTATTTACTGTGAATTTGAAAACGCTACTACTGTTAATAAGGAAGTTTCTTATAAATTTACAGCAGCAATTTTGCACCCTTACGGGTTGGATTTTTTTAAAATCCTTTCTTAGTGCACACATGCGTCACCTAAGAAACATTTTTTGCAAAATTTGATGCTTCTGGACCCAGCGCTTTCAGCTGTGCGTTCGAACAGTCAGTGCATTAGTCTGTCAGTTTCTTCTTTTATAGATATAGATTTTGAAAATACTTTTTATTTAGAAAGGTATATTCCCGTTTGTGACTAAAAATACAACCCCTAAGGCGTATTGAGTAGGTGATATTTTTGTAGTTTATAATAAACTAGCTGGACCCGCGGTGTTACTCCTTATGTCATCAGCTATCTGCCACTGAAAGTTCCGTCGAAATCGGTCCAGCCGTTCCAGAGATTACCCGGGACAGACAGACAGACAAAAATTGTAAAAAAATGTTATTTTGGCATATGTACAGTGTAAACATACATATGCATTTAGTAAAAAGCGGTTATTTTAATATTACAAACAGACACTCCAATTTTATTTATTTGTATAGATTTGCAGAGTCCATTTGTATAGTGACATAAGACTGACGCTAGATGGCGTGTTTTAGTTTCATACGCAAGTTTCGTTTCGCTAATGTATTACCCTCTTTTAAGGCTTATAGTACTAAGATATATTGGTTAAAACTATTTAACATGTGATTTGGTTGTAGTAGATATAAGTTACAAACAAAAATATTAATAATTGATTAAGTATAGTATCTTAAGTGTATGAGGGAATTCGTGTATTGTAAGTTATGCATGATTGTTTTTTTTCATTTTAACCCAGATAAGTCTACTGTCCTATATGTAGGACGGTAGAACAAAATAATCAATTTACGCACATAATTACAGAATATATTAAATGGATTTGTAGTGACAAGCTAATGTGCTATTGAAATAAAAATTATAAAAAGCTGCAGTTATAATATATTATCCGTTTTTTTAATATTTCATTGAAAATAATATCTAAAAATGCATTGCAGACATATGGGACAGTAGGCTTATCTGGGTTAATCACAAAAATTATTTATCATTTTTATGTAATTAGTTTTACACTAAAATTAAATATACAATAATTTTTATACTTTTAATGCCAGTGGTGAAGAAATTTTAGTTTATTGGAGTTAGGGAATCGTATACTTTCAAGTCTTAAAGCCGAGACACATCGTGCGGGACGGCGACGAGGCGTGAGCGAGTTTTTTTTTGTACTAGTTAATATAGCATATTTTACATAGAGCTTTTGCACTTACGGACGTTGCGACATTTTAATAGCACCCGCCACATCGCAGTCCTGCCCCGCTCGCTGTCTACCTCAACATTAGTAATTGAAAAATTGACTAATGTATTTTTATTCAATACTTTAATAGTTCCTCACTGGGTAACAGTCGGAGTTTTATTGGGTATTTGTGGGTTTAGATCTACAGCAATAAGAGAGAGATTTACAAACTAACTGTCTGAACATTAGATGAAATCTTCAAAAGTTAAAAAAAAAAAACTAAAAGCAGAACTTTTTCATTGGTTTTTGACACTCCTAAAGTTATTATGTTTTTTTCTGAATTAATAGCTTGTCTGATACAGAAGATTGGCTGAAAATACAGTTTCGGTGACAGGATATTAAAATATAGTTTTTTTTTTTGCAAAAAGCGCCTCTTTTAGCTGTAGATAATGCGGTACAGGTTATTTTATCACTAATTCTGACTTGATTTTTATATACAGAAAGTTAACGTACAATTAAATACGTAAGGAGTATTAATATCACTTAGAACTAAGCACCTAAGTTTAACTTAATATTAACATACTTAAGTTCACAGTCTAGGTACAATTAAAAAAAATAATACTCTTTTATGTCCATTTGGACTAATTGATATTATATAAAAATATACATAATTTTTAAGTCATATAGCCATTGATGATATATATTATAACGCCATCTATACATAATAAAATATAGTTCAACGCCATCTAACGGAGACAAGTCGAACTACGTAATAACAACTAATCCTGCATCACTCAATAAAAGTTCCCGAGTTCTCTAAAGTTTTTTATGTTTGTAGAACATGCAATACTGAAAAGTGAAGATTTCATATTCTTGAGAACATGATTTCTTTATTAATGGAGTGAGATTATTTAGCATAGAAAGAGTGTGTATTTAAAATAATATAATTATCACCAATGGCTATACTTTTATAGATAAAGTACTAATTCAATTTCAAAATTCAGTTCCCTAAAGCCGTAACTGAGGAACGCATTTTGACACATTTTTTTGTTAAATTTGAGTAGATCGGATGTCAAAATAGATAGTTAGCGTTTGATTTTAATTCAATTTTATAACATTACTCAATAAACCTAGAAAAAATAATGTTTACATAAGATTATAAGTAACATACATTAATATAACGCATTCAATTATAATGTACGGGTCACCAGTGACCCTTTGACTTTCAAAACCTTATAATTGTTAACTTGTAAATCTCAAACAGTACACGTTAATTTTAACTATTTAAGGCGAGCCAAATAATGGGCTGTTCATAGTGAACTCCGTAATGTCTTTACATGTCAATATATAGCAGTGATGTGCTATCTAATACCTTTAAACGAGCAATTCTTGAATATATGATTTATGAAATTTAGTATGCAGGGGGTATTGGGGGCGAATTAGAAAATTTACCAAAATAAATCGGTCTTCCAGGTACTATTCCTTATCCGCGGATATCCAAGGGTAAACAAACACTATTCGTATCCGATTCTTGATCTTGAACGGCTTTTAAAAAAATACTTACACACATCTAACACACGGCCGTCTGACCCCAAATTAGGCAGAGCCTGTACTACGGTAAGCAAACTGTTGATAAACATACATATATAATTTACAAATAAACACATATTATAGATAAATTACACCCAGACACAGAACAAGTGGTCGTATTCATCACACAATATTTGTCCTGGGTGGAAATCGAAAACCACTGGTTTAGCAGTCAGGGTCACTCTCCACAGGCCCAACTATTGCCACAAGGTCTTGCGTGTTGGCATTTACTGAGGAAAGACTTGAAGCCCCTATCCACGGATATATAATATTATTACGATCCAGTACATCACTCCCCGAAGCTCCTACCCGAAGTAGTGAGTCATGATGGCCATGATGGCGATCCCGGAGCAGAGCGCGGCGAGGTGTTTGAGTGACTGCGTGCGGTCCGGCTCCCGCAGCAGGTCTGGCAGGACGGTCACCAGCGCGATGTGCAGGAACCCGCCCGCAGTGAACGGAACTATCCAGGATGTTTTCGCCTCTGTAATTGCAGTGAAAACTTTTTTAGGCGCGTTGGCATTTTTGAAAAACAAACAAAATATGTATTTTATGGGGAAAAAAACAACTAGCGACATTGTTACCGTTACCGACACCTCTGTTGAAGTGAAAACTTAATTAGGCGCGTTGGGCATTTTTTTAGATGGAAAAAACAATTTAACTCGCGACACTGTTACCGTTACCGACACCTCTGTATATGTTTTCACTTCTGTCGACACTCCCGGAGTGCCAGTGTTTTTTTTTTAATTCATTTTATTGTAATTTTTTTTTTTTTTAGACTTAAAGTAACAATAATAAGAACACAACTGACCGATAGAATTCCTTGCACCACTGAATATAACCGCTGTCATGGCACCGATCAGACCGGCCGCCGCCGTCGCCTGTAACATGTAGTAAACACAAAATCTCATTATATTCCTTGAATTTATAATTTATTTATCCTAATGTAAGCTACTTTACATATTTGTTTCTTAGTTACCCTTATTGTTATTCTCATAGCCAAGCGTTATTTTCTTTTTCAAACAGTAAATACTTAAGTAGTTAATAAGTTTACACATGTTTTAAGAAATAATAGGTCTTTACCTATTAAATTGCCGTTTTGTATGCAATAAGTGAAAGTACTTATTTTTTCAAACTTTTTTATTTCTGTTATTCGAAGTAATCACCCATGCCATCGACGCATCTTTGCCAACGCATTGGCAGTTTACTGATGCCCTTCTTGTAAAAATCTGCTGGACGGGAGGCAACAAACTCTTCAAAGGCATTTTGTACTGCCTCTCGGGAATTGAATTTTTTACCCACAAAAAAGTTGTCTAAATTTTGGAAAAAGTAATAGGCGGTAGGTGCAAGGTCTGGTGAGTATGGCGGATGAGGGAGAGCTTCCAACCCCAGCTCTTGCAGCTTGGAGATGGCAAAGTTGTGAGATAGAAAATTGTTCGGAACCGAATTGAGACCGAACTTTGATACGAGACTTGGCCTTCTGGTGACTCGTTTACTCCTGGGTCAAAATCACCAAGGTGGAAAATTCCGAGTTCTCTTTTATGATGAATATACTTAACAGCTATTACTTTGATAATGAGCTTAGATTATCACTAAACTTGTGTTTCAACAATATGTACGTTGGCAGAGCATAGAATAAAGTACTACTCCTGTAATTTTATTTTTAAATTGAGCTGTCACTGAAAACAATCATTCCGGGAACGTTTTTGAAAGACTTATAATAAAATTGAAATATAACTTAACTATTTCTCTTGACCCTGTATATTAGCGGCAGTAAGCAGTTATTAATCAGAAATTAAAAAGCTCAAAAGAAATTGCAAATAAAAGCATTTAGAAACAAAATATTGCTACAAATGGAGCTATTGGACTATTTCCTTATATAAAATTAACTAAATATGCCATATTTGTAGACTTATATTAAAATAAATAGGCTTACGATATTAGAAGTTCGCCTTATTTTAATATTGCCAGTGACTTTTTTAATTACCTAAGTTAATAATGTGTTATCTGTGATTTTAGTAATGATCCCGAAAATGATGAGGTGTTCACGAAATGATGCACGTGTTCTTTAAATGACCTATATCGTCATTTAGAGAATTCACTATACGTCCAAGTAGCTTTTGTTATCTATTTGAATCCATTTATTAAGGTTTGTAGCCAGAGATGTATATTAAGTTCAGCTGCCGTATAGTGATGTTGGACCATCAGAGTAGATATGAAGGGTGTTAATATATTTTTTTTCTAATATTGGTTGTAGGATTGCATTCATATGAGTCCATATCACATGGGCTTGATGATCCAAATTTTCACTTACGGTAGCAAACGATTTAGATTGTAAACCATACGCCCGTATGAATAGACAATTGATTTTTTGCAAAATGAGTCGACTGAATTTCATTTGCGTACTTGGTTGTGTAACTCTCCGAACAGTCTATCTGTATCATTACCTCTTCTTCAGGTTAATTTTCTTTTAGCTCTTTTTTCAGTTTGTTGTATCTGTAGATGCCATACAGATGTTTTTTCATAACTGGAATATCTTCAATAAAAGCCATTTTTAATTCTTTGATTGTACTTGACATTGCTACCTTCTTTGTGATCTTAAATTTCTTATTCTCGCCTTTTACAGTTTTTTCTTCAATAACACAAATCCATTGAAAATATGTCACAGAATCAGTTTTATCAGCTAGCTCAAACATTGGATGTTTACATCTATCACACAAACCATTCATGCAGTCATAAGATGTTATATCGCAACTATAATACTCAATAATTTTCTCAACACTTCCGTGATTAATCTATTGTAAATATTTTAATTCGTTCACTTTGAACTCAAAATTTTCGTGTTTAACACAAGATTCTCTGTCTCTTAATTTTGGAGCTACTACCCAAAATGGTTTTGCTATTAATAACGTCGCATAAGAAAAAAATATTCCAGTTTCGCTAACGAATTTTGACGTCAGTTCTTTAACTGAGAATAGAAGGAGACGCTTTTGTTTGTTAATACCGTTTTTCTTTACAAAATCTCTCTTGGCTGGACACATCCTACTGACATCATCTCTTTGGAAAAAATCTTTAACTTTTTGACAAACTTCAGGCTTCAAAACAACCTTACGAATTTTGGTATCAGACTTCAGAATCGATGTACTGGTTCTCTCTCTTGACAAAAAACTCTTAGCCATATGAAGTAATTTGTATTTCCTCACTATATTACCGCTAACACATTTCTGGAAGATTTCTCTCTCTTAGGAATATTTTTGCAAAGTAGTGCCTTTTTATTTTAATTGTGTAGTCAGTACTTCGTTCAATATCCGATTCTTGCGCACTTCAGGAGGTATATTGACATTTTTATCATTACATCAACCTTACTATTAGAATTACTTGGTACCTGAACTTTCTCCTCTTCTCTTTTTTCTTTTCTTCTTAGTCTTTTCATTAAAGTTTCATATTTACGTTCATTTCAGCAATTGTTTTCTCCTGTTGTTTTATTTTACGGTACGCTTAGGCTCTATCCTTACGCACAATTTTTCTTTCCACTGTACTTTCTACTGAAGGTGTAGCAGCTAAATCATCACCTGAATGTGGTAGAGAATTGTTTGTTATACTTGATAATACATTGTTCTTCTCTCTGTATTTTTTGATGCTTCTTTTCAAATTTTCCTTTGCTTTCGCTTTTCTCTGTGAGTAATATATTTAACTTTCTTTTCAGCTTTTTTTTTGGATAGTAAGCTCTATCCTCGGCTCTTTTAATTTCTCTCTCTTCCTCTGTCATCTTGTCTAAAAATTTCCTTTTTCTGGAATTAGCTTTTTGTCGTTGGCGCAAGTAAGCTGAACTATTTTTGTTAAGGTGCTTTTTCGAACGTTTTTTATTTTTTCAAGCATCATGAGACTCCATATTGCTAAAACAAATGGAACATTTATTAAAAACTACGTTAGCACAACATTCACTAAATTAATTAACCAATAGTTGTAACAGATGTCACTTTGATAATGAAAAAGTCATTTCGGGAACGTCATCATCATTTCGAGAATACTCCGTCAAGTTCAGAAACGTTCCCGAAATGACCGTTCTCGAAATGACTTTTAAAAATAAACGCGCCTTTTTATAAAAGGCCGCCATCTTTGACATCATGTTTGGTTTAGTTAATGTAAAAAGCTTGAGATTACTATTCGTTATAGACACTATTATAGGTATTTATCATTCATTCTGCGTTAATAAACGCGTTCCCGGTATGATGACACATTGATGTACGCTCTGTAAATAGTTAATCGAAAGGTACTTACCACTTATTTTTAATTATTTTGGCCAGAAACTTTCTTGACAGCCACTTTGTTTACATCTTTCACTACACTGCACGATAGACATCTACAGGCCACGTTCAGAAACACAATATTTTCGGGCAATCAAAACTGCGTTCACTCAAATGACGCTTACATTGTCGGACATAATATTTTGACTTAATTCTCTTTAGTTTCTTTTCTTTTTTTCATAATGCATATAATTACTTAATAATAAATAAAATTTAAGGCTAATAAGTAAGAAGAACCGTAAAATTTATTTTATTTTATGTATATTTCCGGTGTTAGTTTCTAAAGATTGCTACTTAGGACGCGTTCTCGAAATGATTTTTGTAGTTATTTCTTCAAATAATAATGAAAATGTTTTACTTTAAAGTATAATATACGAGGTACAGTTAATATGAACCCTTTACAGTATTTACAAATAATAATTTGTTTAAAAAAAAACGCACTGAGGTAGTTATTTTCAAGTAAAGCTGATTTTCCACCTTGGTGATTTTGACCCTCCTATATCATAGAATAAGGATAAAAACTTGTTGCTGATGTCCTATCGTAAAAGTGTTGAAAAGAGATGCAACTCACCAGCTGTGCTTTACCAGCCTCCCACCTGGAGAAACCACTTTTGAGTAATATGGCGAAGTCCCCAACCTCGTGTGGAATCTCGTGCACTGTAGAAGAAAAAAGCATTACGATAATAATAAAAAAAATTGCCGTCGCAGGATGTTTGGCAGTTGCCGTTCACTGCTGAACGAAGGTCTCCGCCAAGAAGTGGCATTTATCCCGGTCTTGGACAGTCCGCATCCATCTGCTGCCAGCCACTTACCTCAAGTCGTCAGTCTATACACTATGTTTGCCCAATCGCAATCTCCACTCTAGCGACCATCAGTCCGTCTGGAGACATAACCAGCCCACTTCACTTCACTTCTCCGTGCGAATGGCGTAGTGGTTTGTGTAGCAGAGTGCAATTCCGAAGGTCGCGGGTTCGATTCCCGCTCAAGTCAAGCATTTGTGTGCATGAACATTTAATGTTTGATTTGGTCTGGGTGTTTCTATGTATAATAAGTATGTATTTACAAAGAAAAAAGTATATATGTATTTATATCAGTTGTCTAGTACCCATAGTACAAGCTCTGCTTAGTTTGGGACTAGATGGCGTTGTGTGAATGTGGTACAATATTATTTATTTATTTAAAATGTCACTTTAATTATTTAAAAAAAAACGAGGTTACACACCTAATATAGCGAAAGTGGTGAGCAGACCGACCCTGAAGCCGACGAGGAACGAACCGCCCACCGCCAGTCCATGTGTGAAGTTGTCAATGGAATTGGCCATCAAGTTGAGGTAGCCGGCCACCTGGAAAGGATACACCCACAACAATAACAATTAAACATTAGTTTTTATTAGTTTATTCTTTTATTTTGGTATAGTAGGCCAAAACCTCCTTTCTAAGGAAAGGCTTATGTCCAGCAGTGGACTATTAAAGGCTGTTGATGATGAAACATTAGTTTTAGGGAAGAGTTTCGGTCGGTTTAAACTTTTTTCCTTCTAGCTGTACCCTGGCACATTGCATTGATGGAAAAGGAGGGACAAAACTAACGGCAAAAATAGATAAAAACAATCTTTGAAGCGTGTTGTTTATCGTATCAAAATTTGAGCTCAATTGGTGCAGAACTTTTTGAGTTTTTGAAGCGTACACAAACCATGTGTGGTGTCCGTGTGGTGACGGATTAAGAATACAGAGTGTCACCACCCCTATTTATCCCGTGGGTGTCGTAAGAGCCGAATAAGGGAGCAAAATATGCAGAACAACAGTACTGCAGAGAGAAGGAAAACTTCTAACCCAACCCAACCCATATGGCCAACGTGGTATAGTAGGCCAAAACCTCCTTTCTAAGGAGAGGCTTATGTCCAGCAGTGGACTATTAAAGGCTGTTGATGTGATGTGACACCAACCAAATTAACATTTATATATACGAAGATTATACAATCTGCTCATAATATTTTACCAGGGCCTCAATTTATTTTCTCGCCAAGCCACTGTCATACCACTGACACGCTATTGAGATGCCATCGAGTGGCCATTGGCATCGGTATAAATATCGTTAGTCTACACTAACTCAGTGTCTTTACAATGGCAATGGAATGGCAGTGGCTCATCAGTTGTGATATCAAAAGATTGCCATATTTAGAAAAATAAATAAATCATTTCCTTATAATTTGAAAATGTATTACGTTTTTTTTTAATTTTGGTCCACAAAGTTGTTATGGATTTATCATATTTATTGATACAAATGTATAAACTACAACGACATAATACACCGTAATTAATAGAATTATCGTTGCTGTTTTTGTTGTTGTTTAGTTAGTGTAGACTACTGATATTTATACCGATGCCAATGGCCACTTGTCACTACATCGACAGTCTATTGACAATGTGAATAGATGTCAATGGAATCTCAATGCCATCTCAATAGCGTGTCGTTGGAATGACAGTGGCTTGTATGTTAACATAAAATAGCAGAATTGAGGCCCTGGTTGGCAGAAATTATCGTTTTGTAAAAAATCTAGGAACCTGATTGGGGGGCTTGATTAATGCGTCACTATTTTCTTAAAGCGAATGGACTATAGGTATTCTTAAACAAATAATGTCATTAAATTTTTAAAGCTATAAATTTATACAATAATATATAAAGTGCATGAACTTGAGGTACATAGTCTTTAAAGAATAATTATATCTACTTACATTTTTCTTCTCATTCTTCTGCTTGGACTTCTGCAGCGCCTTCTCCCTCACTTCTCTTAATAGACAGCGTCCCATCCAGCGGTTGCCTTTATTGCTACAACGGGCTGTACCGTTCTGGTTTACCATCGTATTGCAGCATACACCTGGAAATATAATGGTCAATGTTTTTTTTTTTATTTAACCACAATTACTTCACACACTACGATTACTACTTTAGCTCTAAGGCTATTCACCATGATCATCATCATCAACAGCCTATAATATTAGTCCACCGCTGGACCTAGTACTCTTCTTAAAAGGGAGGTTAGGCTTACTATACCACGCTGGCCAGATGGCTTGGTATAGGGTTTGTATCAAGTTTTACTTCTCTTTCCAGAGATGTTATCCCCTTAATCGGCTCTTAAGACACCCAGACTCAGAACATCAATTTGTGGTTCACACAAAATGTCGTCCCATGGTGGATCGAACCCACAACACTCAGTAGCAATTCTTAGCCACTGGATGATAAGAGTTTTTTGATGAAACTTGAAATACTAATAATAATAACATTTCATCCCACACACGGCAGTCTGATCCCAAACTAGGCAGAGCCTGTACTATGGTAACCAGACTGCTGATAAACATACATCCATACATATTTCTAAATACATACATATTATAAATAAATTACACCCAGACACAGAATAAATGATCGTGGTCATCTCACAAATATTTGTCCTGGGTGGGAATCGAACCCACGACCTCTGGCTTAGGAGTCAGGGTCACTAACCACGAGACCAACAGGCCTGTCAATAAATGTAAGGCTTGAGCTCAGAACACTCACCCTTAGTATTATTGTTAAACAAACAAGTATCGTACTGATCCTTCGCGCTGACGTCACCATTCGTATTACATATCCCCTCTCCTTTATTCTTCCCCCTCTGTTTTCTCTCCACTCGTAGAAGCTTCTCTATCTCTTCTATCTCGATCTGTTTGATGTGACCGTTCTGCTTGACGTGTTCTTTGGTGTCTGGTTCTTCCTCCTTCTCTTCAGTAGTCGCGAAAAGTTTCTCCACCACGATGAAGACTAGCATGCCGAAGAGACACCAAAGTCCACTTTTTAGGGAAACGTGTTCACCAGCTGTGGGTGACGGAAAAATAAACGTTATTAATTATTTTACTATTTCATGTTGTATTTATTAAAAGGATCTATTAAGAGTGTCGGTAGAACAATTCACTACTGCTACGTCAGAAGTCGCACATTCGATTACCGCTCAGTAAAACATTAGTAGATATGAATTTGTTTAAGAGTTCTAGTTTTTTTATATAAACTATATAATATTTACAAAAACATTCTAGTCCAAGTACTACATACAAACGGTCTTTAAACACTCAATGATCAAAAGTCCTACACCCTAGCCACGACGCATAGCATCGCTTTTCTACACAGTACAGTATTTAACAATAAATATAAATATCATATATAAATATCATTTAAAAGAGCGCAAGATAACTAAAGGAATAACAAAATACAGTAGCTTTAATCCCGGATTTTAGATAGCAAGACAAAATAGATACAAAATCAAAAAGTTTACATGTAATATGATAAGGATTAGATTTCAAATATAAATTAACGAATTCTGATTTGATCGTTATCACGGTATGAAGTGTAGTATTAAATTCGAATATTAACTTCGGTGTGTTGTATCCACAGTTTATTAAAAATAAACGGTTTTATTAGGCCGGATGCCAGACTAGTTTCGAACGGCCTGTCACGTCGTGTCTACAGCTATTGGATACGTGGAAAAGGGGCCCTTATAGATGGTACCCGAGACTAGCCGGGTATGCACGAAATATGCACGTGACTGAACCAGTTTTTCTGTAGGTAACTAATAATTAATTTTGACCGTTTAAAGACAGTCAAAATTACGCCCAAAGGAGCGTGTAAAAAGAGATACAAAGCATTTCATTCGCGTATTTATGTACAGATTAGGTAATTTGAACATAAGTTTTTACATTTTATATAAATTTTATTACTCTTTAACATTGATATACATTACACTAGATTAGTAATTACCGCTCAAAAGGGTTGGAAGTGCACATCTGTCCATAGCCTTATGCGCAGGAAACGTCAGTTCAATATTCAATGTGGCGCCAACCGAATTAAACATAACTACACGTGACAATAACAATCGCCAAAATTAGTAAATGCGTAGTGAAAGAATGCGATCCAAGGTCACAAAACCATAATAAATCAAGCAATTACTTTTCACACATTAGTTGATGGTTTATGTATTGAAAATAACGTAAATAAGGCTATAATTGAATTTAAAAAATGAATCATTGTAATTTAGATTCAGAGTTACCATGAAAACGTCGTTTTGGTTTTCCCACATTAGTGAAAGAATTTATAATTTATGAAATAATATGCTTAGTATTGTTTTTAAATATTTTGGCAATAATAATGAAATATAGTAAGAACGGACCAGAAGGGTAATTGATAGGACTGGACCGATCTTCTTTTTTTTAGGAACCGGTTGAAGGCACAAGAGAAATGATTCATTGTATTTTCTTAATTAAATTCTAAATTATCAATTTTATAATATTTTTTTTATATTCGAGAGCAGTGAGTGGGAAGAGAGGGCGCGCAGCAACATCGCGGCAGCACGAGAAACATAGCGATGAGCAGCGCAAGGAGCATAGTGTGGCAGGTCCTCGTCTCATGCTCTAACAATGTTTTTTTTTTTAACCACGTGTTGCATAAATGTTTACAATGTTACGGCCAAGCGATGAACGATTACAAAAACGTTCAATGACTCAATATTTATTACCTACTTTCCTAGTACAAAAGCTATCGTGCTCGGAACACAAAACTTCTCAACGTTCATGCCAAATAATAAACAACTCCAAGACAAAGGGGTTAAAGTTGTTTTTGTAATGACAAACGTTTGAATGTTAACACAAAACCTCAACATGTATAATTAATTTGTAGTTTGTCATTGTTTTATCGTAATTATGTGTACATTTGTTGCTGTGATTAGTTCGATGTGATATCTTTTAATATTTCATATACTTTTGATATATTAATAACCTCATTTTCAATTCTAACAGTATTTAAAACAAAACAAAAAAAATACGATTTATTAAAAACGATTTTACCAATGTACCAATGTTTTAAGAATAATAAACGACATTTTTAAAATACATATCTAATTTCGACATAACTTTAGCCATCGGAATTAAAAAGTATAAAAGTATTCCACTACGCACCTAATAAAAGTTCTTCTAAGATGCGCCGATTGCATGGGTGATTACTTCGAATAACAGAAATAAAAAAGTTTGAAAAAATGAGTACTTTCACTTATTGCATACAAAACGGCAATTTCATAGGTAAAGACCTAATATAAGAGGTCATCGTTACGAAGAGTTATCAAGGGCTGAGTGCAAGTTTAATTCACATCGACTCGCTCTCGACGGCGAGCGCGTTTAGCGTTGCGATTGGTGGAGATTTCAGTGCGGGCCAATCGTAGCGCCGAACGCGGTCACCGTGACGATAAAGTAGAAATGAAATAAACTCGCACTTGGCCCATCTGTAGGCCTCGTTAAAAAACGAACCACTATTGTCATGCTAAGTACAGAAGTACTTTTCATAGTCCTTCTAATTTTGCCATTCATATATATCCTAGAGGGCCCTTTTAACACCAACAGGTTTGCGATAGTTGGGAAATGTGTTTAATATGCTAGGAAGGAAAGTCTACTCCTTTCGGAGATATATGTAGACGTAAGTACTGTATATGTATATATCATAAGTACATATAAAAACAATGTTTCATTTCGATAATCATCAACAGCATTTAATAGTCGACTGCTGGACATAGGCCTCTTCTTAGAAAGGAAGTTTTGGTCTACCATACCACGCAGGCCAGACGGGTTGGTATAGGGTTTGCGTCAAGTTTTCCTTGTCTTGTCCGTGCTGTTGTCTTTGTGTTTCGATACTACGCGACAATTTGAAGTAGATGGAATTTGACTCCAATATTTTTTTCACAGTTACCAGTGAAACTATTATTATCAATAAGAATATGATATACCAACATCAATCGGCGGGCCGCGGCCCGCCAGGCCTGGTGACCTACCCTGTTCGGAGGCCAGTAGTGACGATCCAACTTATCGTCATTAGCCACTAATCCATAGACTACACGAAGGTGGCACTGATAACGCGTGGCCTCAATGTATTATTATAATAATAATATAAAATGTCTTAATGTAAAAGAAGCAGGAAAATTTATTTAAATGCTAATTAATTTAATTTAAATACAATAATTTTTTGATATTTGAAATAGAAATTGAGTTAGAAACAATATTACTAAATATGTATTCTGAAAAAAAAAGTAAAATATCATTTACAATAAAAATAGGTGCTGAACGAATGAATAAGAGAATGAAGCCGACGGTATTTAGAGTTGCTAGGTAGGTAGTTTAGGTATTTTTTAAATTATTATGTAGGGAACGGAAGCTATACATAATAAAATAATTACTAGATTTACTGTTAAATAGGCGAAATAGGGTTTTTATGCAGCGTCTGAAAACAGGTTATTGGCAACAACGCGTGAGTAAGTAGTAACCCTAACCTACGTACGAATAAATCGAATGATAAATCACCGTTCATTCACAGTTCACTGTGATTTTGTTCCATGCCTACTAAGGATTAATGTGTATATTAATACTTATTGACACATTATTACAGGACTTATTTGCGATATTCCCTATTATATTAATATTGTATGTATTTTATGGTAGTAGTAGGCAAACAAGAAGACGGGTCACCTGATGGAGGTGACCGACCATCGACACCTGCAACTGAAGAGTCTCAAGTATGTTACAGCCCTTGGAGTACTCCCTTCAGAATTTCTTCAAAGACTTCTGGCAAACAAATGGTCGTGTACTACTGGCACTGTAGCCACATGTCCATTTATACAAATAAACAAGCGACCATTTTTGCTTCTAAGTGCTTTTTGAACGAATGACTTTGGTTGGGTTCAGCTTATCTTGGAACACATAGTTGTTTAGTTTCAGGATCACGCATATATCTAAGATTCATCACCTGTGTAGATATTATAGACAGCTTTTGACGCACCCTGACTGTACTTTGTAACATTTTTTTACAACAATCCACACGAGCCCATTTTTGGTCAATTCTCAAGTTGTGCGGAATCCAACGTGAACAAATTTTTTACAGCCAAATGTTCGTGTAATATTTTATATATACTCATCATACTTATTCCCAGAGACACCTTTGTCTCGCGATATGTAACATGACGATCTTGCATTATTAGTTCCCGCACAGCATCAATATTTTGAGGTACTTGAGGCCCTCGTTTAAACTCACTAAAGCAGTGATACACAGTTGTTTTTGATGGTGCTTCGTCCCCAGAAGTCGAAGGGAGTTGATCGATACACTGTATTTGAGTTAGCTCTCGCCCAAAATCGTAATAAATCATAGCACGAAAATTTTCACGAGTTCAATTCATATTGATAAAGACACGCAATTTACAAAATGACGCCACAAAGGATAAACAAATGACAGCTACATGAAACAAATTATATTCTTCAGCCAAAGAGTTCCATTTTTAAACTTTATAATTAATTTTTTAATATTGTTCTGTAACTGGCCAGTTCCGGAAACATAAATAGCAGCCCTCGTATAGGTAGTATCTATATTGCACCCGTGCGAAACAACACACAGATTGTATTATATCTATATGTTGTTTATAAGCAGTGTTGAGGTTTTGTGTTGTTAGCAACACAAAACCTCAACACTGTTTATAAACAACATTTTAATAGTATTAATATATTTATAGTGCATTCCTTATCTATGAGGAAAAAGTAGTGTTACACTCAGATGTCAATGAAATCGTTGAGGTATGTTTGTGGTCGAGTCGGTTGTGTTATCACAAGTAATAAATTGCTATAAATTATAAATACGACCATCAATAGGTTTTTTATTGTACGTTATATTGTAATGATGTAATTTTAGTGATACTTCCGTACTGGCGTTAGCTATACAAATAAATAAACATGCTTACACGATTATTTGCACGATACCTATGTCTAAAAACCAGTTAAAAAATATTCTCTGTTTATTCCGGGTAATCTTCTAAACGGCTGGGCTGGAAATAAACTAGGGACGTGTTATAAATCATATGATTTATAAATCGTATAACCACACATGGGACTATTTTACAAAACTGGCGCCAGACTCGCGAAAGGTCTAAAATGTGAAAAAAGGTCGTAATCTTTGATAAAAAGAATTTAGTTTGATTTTAATTTTATTATCTTGGTGAAATCGCTGTGACTAAAACCAATCATTTCATCAATTATAATGATTGAATGATTTAAAGGTAGCAATAATTATTATGTCTATAAATAAATTAACACTCGGGGTTATGGTTTAGGCTCGAGTAACCGCACTCACTCAGTAAAAAACAACGAAGGATACTTAACGCTGGCTTTCTGTGAGGCCGTGGTAGCACTCCGGTCAAGCCTGGCCCATTTGTATTGAAGCAAGGTTCTCGTATGGCAACATGGCTATTCGTTAAAATAAACTAGCTTTTGCCCCCCCCCCCCCCCCTAAGAATCATTCCCATACGAAATTTCATTTGAATCGGTTAAGCGGTTATTGATTCCCCATACAAACGTCCACCTCCCTTTTACACCCCCTTAAAGGATGATTTCTGGAATGAAAACTAGCTTATGTCCTTTTCCGGAACTAAAACTATCTCTATACCAAATTCCATCTAAATCGATTCAGCGGTTTAAGCGTGATGAGGTAACAGACACTGACACACTTTGGCATTTTTAATATTACTCGTAGTATGGATATCCGTCATGGGTCGGGTATTGTTTTTGATATATACTGCAATACGTTCAGGTCAAAATAAACAGCGTAGTAATACAATACCGATAAGTTAGCATTGACAATGGACTTACAGTATGTTATCATGTCATTTGCATATGTCAGTAGGTAAATGTGTGTTGTATATTACTTGTACAAGGATTTTTGTGTTGACTTTAGCTTCATTGTTAGTTTGGTAACGCTGGTGAACGATTATTTAAAGTGATTAGGTAGTTTTATTTCCTTGTTTGTTTATTTACATTTAGCATAGATATAAAAATTTATAATAAACTACCAGAAACGATTAAGAACGAAGAAAAAAAAAACATTTTCATTTATAAGTTAAAACTTTTCCTGTTACAAAAAAGGTATTATAGCGTAAAAGAATATATGGAAGAAATAAAAAAAATGTGACAATGCATTCAAAAACATTATATTACCACCTTGATTAAGAAAAAAAACATCACGAGAACATAGTCAAGCCTGACCAAAACCAGGTGCAATAATTAACTTAACAAAATAAAACACAATAACACTAATAACCCTTATAAAAAATTATACAAAATATTTAAATAAAAAAATAATGGGTAAACAGATTAAATATATATCAATAATATATTAAAAATAAATTTAGTAATAATCATTCCCCCCTCTCTCTTCTATGCTGTGCCCGACAGGGTCCATGATTGATACCTAGCAAATTTTTAACCAACTGTAAAATTTACATTATGGTAGCAATAAAGTATTGAGTAGATAATAACTTCTTCAAGTTTATTAACATATGTTTTGGAACGAAGTTGCTTAACACGCGAGATCGTTTTTTTTTATGGTATAAGGGGGCAAACGAGCAGACGGGTCACCTAATGGTAAAAATCTACCGTCGCCCATGGACACCTGCAACTCAAAAGTCACAAGTGCGTTGCTGCCCTTGGGGTCCCTTCCGCTCGAGTCAGCGGGAGATGGGATTTGGGCTCCGGTAACGTCCTCACTCAGTGAAAGGCAACGAAAGAATTGCTTAACACCGGTTTTCTGTGAGGCCGTGATATCACTCCGGTAAAAACACAACAAGACATTTTTTCGACACTTCTTGCGGAATTTCGTTCCGACCGGGGGTCGATAGACCTCTCACGCTGTTTTTTAATGAGTTTGCTGCTAGAATAGTAGTGATCGAAGACAAAGGCGTATTTAGCGCTTGTAACTATGTGTGTGTTATGTGTTTGACCCGTCATCATCAGCCTATCGCAGTCCACTGCTGGACATAGGCCTCTCCCATTGCACGCCACTTAGATCGATTTTGGGCTTCTCGCATCCAGCTCCTGCCAGCCATCTTGCGCAAATCGTCACTCCACCGGGCCTGTAGGCGTCCTACACTACGTTTACCGAGACGCGGTCTCCACTCAAGAACTCGTTTTCCCCAACGGTTGTCGGTTCTGCGGCTAATATGGCCGGCCCACTGCCACTTCAGCTTGCTGATCAGGTAGGCTATGTCGGTGACCTCGGTTCTCTGCCGGATCACCTCATTTCTGATGCGATCCCTTAGAGAAACGCCGAGCCTTTGACCCGTAATCTATGTATTAATTCATTTACGATCAATCATCATTATCGACATAAATTGTTTTTGGGGGTCGTCTACGTAATTGTAAAAGTGTTTGGCTGATATTATTCATGGTCGGTTGCTGCTTATTATGCATGCCAACTTTCCTAGGAAATTTTATCGTTTCCGGACGAGACAAAGGAAGAAGTTAACGTAAGAAGGTTGAGGCATCGATCCGATTCCGAAACACCACCGCGCCGCAAACTCCGGTAGGGTAACGGCCCGAGGGGGCTTCCACACGTAAAAAAAAAAGAAGGCAAACGGAGATCGCGAGGGAGAAAATTTCGACAACGGTACCGTATTCTTTACAAATTCGTATGCTAAAAATGTTTGAAATCTCTGAAATCACTAAAATCTCTCTCTCTTTATTAATTTCTACATCAAAAACCTTTAGATTAAACACAAAAACAGTGATCCTTTAAAGAGATGTCTTTAAGGATGATTAGGTAGGTGGTTAACCTTGTCAGGATACGTGACAGGGGTTATATTACGTCAGGATTCACGACTCCCCCAACCTTGCAGTACCGGAATTACCTACTTATCAAAACACCAGACGATGCAAAATCGTTCCTTATTTTTGTTTTTTTTTTATGGTATTTAATATAGGCTATGTTGTAATAATGTCATTTTACTGATTTTCCGTCCTAGTGACGGAGTAAGAATACGGAGTGTCACCACCCTCATTCATTCCGTCGATGTCGTAAGAGCCGACTAAGGGAGCAAACTACGCAGGACACCAGCATTGTACAGAGAAGGAAATTTTAACACAAACCCTATACTAACCCACCTGGCCAGCGTGGTATAGTAGACCAAAACCTCCTTTCTAAGGAAAGGCCCATGTCTAGCAATGGACTATTAAAGGCTGTTAATTATTAAAAAGTGTACTATAAAAAGTCTACAGCAGCTCAGTATAATAGTCACAGTACGTCGGGGCACCAGGGATTTCTTTTCTAGGGTACACCTGGTTCCCCGACTACTGGTAACTGAGACGGTGTGCGGGTTTAGTCGGTTCGAGTCCGATATTACCACATAAGTGGTAATATCCGAGGGGATTTCCGCACAGTAAAAAAAAAGTGTAATAGTAACAGTAGTCGGTAGTCGACACTCTATGACTAAGTCGATGAAAAAGAAGAACGCCACCTACGTAGTTCTATTGTTTACATACTTAATACGGCTTTTAGCAATAAGGTCGATCATTGTAACTCCTCGTTTTTTGTCGTACATACAAAAAAAGAACTATTTAATGATTTTTTTAATTCCGTTCTGCGTATTTATCTATTCCGTATTGTATATTTAACGTAGTCTTTGTATTCGTAACATTATTTTGTTTGTGTTACAATTGATTTATTTAGTTACGAGGAAGTAGCATTGTGTCTATGGTATTGTTTTTTTATTATTAAAGTAGTTGTAACTCCAAAGCGTCCGATAGGTTGCATTAACGTTCCTTAGAGCAAGACAATTAATTAATTATAATTCGAAGTACTTCCAGTAGTTCCGGTAATGAAACCATAGCGTGATACAAGTTTTACACTAACGCCATCTAGGGAGACAGTCGGTAGTTATAAATTCTATTTAGTCATAAATTAAACAATAATATTAAAGCCAGTTTAGCATGTCCACTCTCTCTTTACGTCTATTTTTTAGAACAAAGAACGAACACTAAAACTCAGATTAAACAATTTAATTTTAATTATAACTATTTTGCATACTTTTTAACGAGAACTTGCTAACCAAAGACTAATTTTTATTTTTATTATGTTCTCGTTATAATATAATAATGTATTATGCACAAAAAGAATTCTTCGTTCGCGTGGAATTGATTTTTTTGAAAAAATTGTCTATGTTACTCCTTATATAGACAGCTACCTGGTAGTAAAATATTATCAAAACCGGTCTAGCCGTTTAGAAGATTACCGATACAAACAGTTCAATTTTATTTATTTGTATAGATTCCATTGGAATTTGATAAGAACTAAATGAGTACACATAGGCACGTACTAGCCATTGCCAGTACGAGTTTGTTTTATAAATAATATACCGAATAATAAAAGTTTACAGCTGGAATTCTCACTATTCTATGAAGGGCCATCATCTCAGACCCGTGTCTGCTAAGGTGACGGGCAGCATCACCTCCAGGCCCGCTCTCATGGAGGTCAAATCTGCGTTCTCGTGTTGTCTTCCGAAATTCTAAATATTCTAATCAGTAGGTACATCACACATGTGAACACACCCCTGACAAGAATTTAGCTAAGCTGGAGAGGTTAACGAGATACGAGTGACTCGTGTTTTTATGTCTAGCACAAAGAACAGTTCTTTTAAAACTTACGTTTAGTATTTCTAATGTCGTTCTCCCACGATTCCGGTAGCAGATGTAAGAAAACATCACCCAAAAGACCTCCTACTGCGAAGCTCAACAGTATCCTTAAAGTGGCTGCACCAGCTGAAATAGAAGAAATATCTGGTTTAGTATAATTCTGTTTGCTGTAAGATCTTGAAATAAGAGATTTTTTTGTAAATAGTGTGAGCGTTTACAGAAACCTAGTAATGAGGGAACTGCATGACACTATGAACTAATATGTTTATAATACATACATAATATTGAGAAATGTACATATGTCTGAAATACTCTCAACCTGCTAAAAATAACGGGTATATCATACTTGTGGTAAACGGTGTGGATGTCACAATCTACATCTTTATATATATAATTCTTCTGTGAGTGTATGTCACTGAACTTCTCTCAAACGACTGGACCGATTTTGATGAAATTTTTTGTGTGTGTTCAAGGGGATCTGGGAATGGTTTAGATTCACAATTTTGAATGGTAAGGGTGACCCATCCCTAATTTTTTTTTTTTTGCAATACAACGTTTGCCGGATCAGCTAGTATATATATAAGAGATTTCCACGTATATAGTCACTCATCACGATATCTCTGGAACCATTACAGCTAAAGACTTGAAATTTGGTAGGCATATTCTTTTCACCGAGTAGAGGTCAGCTAAGAACGGATTTTAACGAAATTAAAAAAAAAAAAAAAAAAAAAAAATGTAAATAGCAAAACAAAGTTTGCAGGGTCAGCTAGTTAGCAATAATGTATAGCTTAAAACTCTATTGTAACCATTTATTATTGTGATATTGTTTGTTTAACCAATAAACAAAAAAAGGGTATTGTAAGTAGAAAAATGGATTGTAAAACTATGAGATGCTATCCATGTGTTATAGGTGCCAGATAAATTCATATTTATTAACAAGCTTTTATTAGCTTGGTATGTATGTAACGGAATCTTCGAGCGTGATTTTGACTCACTTCAAAACGTTGAATTAAATTGAAACTTTAATTGAACAATGACAATACAATAATTTAAATAGTTTGTCTCGTTATCCTGATCAGGACTTTTAAGTTTAACGGTTTTTTCCATACCTAAAAATACGGTAGTGTCTTTTGAAAAGTACTTAGGCGTGTGTTGATAAATGTGTAATAAACTTACTTGTTACTTTTTTAGCTAGCCGAACTAAAAAATAGGCAATAATTAGGTTATTATCTTTAAAAAAAGGTATTAAATAATATAAAAACTTTCCTTTTACCAATATGTGCCAGTAAAAATGTTTTACAACAATTGAGATCTAGCACCCCACACTATTTTACGATAAAATGATGTTTCTTTTTGAACTTAGAAAAAATTGTTTGCTACAAAAGGGTGTTTTTTTTTAGTATTTTAAACTATACTTTATTGTTAACTCTAGTCTCACGTTCTTAACAATAAAATCGAATATTCGTTTCACGACGTAATCAACAGCCGTTCATGTCCATCCCGAAGCTAAATACTCGTATATTTTTAAAGGTGGGTTACCCTTTGTGTAAATTACAGATTACCCCCTAAACCCACTTACTCGGTTCAAAGCACCGACAGAATTGTTTAACACCGATTTTCTGTCAGACTGTGGCATCACTCTGGTCCAGCCTTCACATACGTGCTGAAACATGACTCTGCCACGGTGACTTGTTAGTGAATTATTAGTTACGAATAAAAAAAACCTAATAAATTAACAATTTTATGGCTTGTTTAAAAATATATCACATAGTCGTACTTGTTTTAATATCACCTCAGTCACAATATTGAGTCTAAATATTTAATCGATAACAGATAAGTTAGCGATGTTATCAAATTGTATTAGAGGCTAATTATTGTTTTTATTACAACCGTGATTGGTGTGATAACATTAATCATTATTATAAAATCACGTGAAGAATTAAGTAGCGTTCATAAAATGATTATATTTTTTAAAAGGTAATAATTACGAAACAATGATTAAAATTTATAGCTTTCATTGTTTTAAATCAATGTTTTCTTTGTTCGTTGCTATGTTACGTAACTTTGCATTTTTATGTGTAGGTACAGGAAAAGCTTTAAAATATTGTCTAGGTAATGCCTATGTCTAGGTAGGCACAAAATTACAGTGAACTGTGATTTATAATTAGATTTTTAATAACGTAAGTTAGGTTAGACACTATTTAACAGTAAATCTAGTACTTTTTAAATTATTTTGTTGGGAATGGTAGCTACACATAATAAAATAATTACTGAATTAATTACTTACTTAATTAAATAGGCGAAATAGGGTGTTTAAACGTCGTCTGAAAACAGCTTATTGGCAACAACGAGTGAGAAAGTAGTAACCATTAAGTACGTACGAAAAAACGATAATTTTTTTATAGTCTTTTATAGCCCACTGGTGGACATAGGCGTCTCGTTAGAAAGGAGGTTTTGACTTCCTATACCACGCTGGTCAGACGGGTTAGTATAGGGTTTATGTCAAGTTTGCCTTCTCATTGCTGTACTGTTGTCTGATAAATAGGGGGTGGTGACACTCCGCATTCTAAATCCATCACCACATAAATGCCATCACAACGTAATCTTATTTCAATGACCCACCGTGACCTCCGCTTTGTCATGGAGCAAGTCTATTATCAGGACGAGCTCCGCATCACGTACAGATAAAGATCCGATAGCGCAACACTTATTTGAGAACAAAGGCTTTTATCAGCTAATTCTTGGGGCAATCAACTTCTTGCGAACTCGATGACGCCTTAGTAACTGAAGGTTAAGTAATACTCCACTCCAATTAATCCTGGCGTGATGTTATATGGTGAACATGCTTTTGCCCGAGGTTTCACTCACGTTAATTTTTTTGATAATGAAAAATTTCTATAGTTAAATATCAAAGGATTGTCGATTAACCATGTAAATGGCTTCAAAGGAGGAGGGGGTTCCGAAAAGACATAGTATACCACAACGGTGTAGTGAGATAACGTGTGGTGACGGATTAAGAATACGGAGTGTCACCACCCCCTATTCATCCCGTGGGTGTCGTAAGAGGCGACTAAAGGAGCAAACTACGTAGACAACAGTACAGCAAAGAGAAGGAAACCTTGACACCCGTCTGGTCAGTGGTATAGTAGGCCAAAACCTGCTTTCTAATAAGAGGCATTTGTCCAGCAGTGGACTATTAAAGGCTAGTGAGATAACACGAGTATTTACATATTATTTCGTTGAATTGTTCCTTTGACCTTTCTCTTTCAACTTTTTTTTATTTCTTTAAAAAGGCAACTCCCGCATTAGGAATATGTTCCTGTGTCGCGGGGGACTTTACAAACATACATAAAACGGACACAAAGAACACCCAGACTCAGAGCAACAATTTGTGGATCACACATTGTGGGACCCACAACACTCGGCGTAGTATGAAGCGGCGTGACGACCGCTTAAACCACTACGCCATCCGTGCAGTCGATCTTCAAAAGAACATAGTGCCAACAGCTGACTTTCAAGATGATTTCATGACTTTCATGATGAAGATTTCATCTAATTGCATCTGTAAATAATCTGTGGTTCGAGGTCAATTTCATTTAAATATGTTTATGTGCCCGTACAATTTTTTTTATACACATGATTGCTTCTATTAATATTTTAAACTTTAGCCGATCAAAAACAATCCGTAACTGTAGGTAATGTCTGTCTGGACATTTTTTTCACGCCCCTTAATTTTTTTTTAAATCTAAATTAGGCCGGTATTTTAAGATAATTTTCAAATATTATTTATGTATTTTGTACTTAAAAATATTTTGGATTTGTTAAAAGTATCAAGTATCACGTGATTAATGAAGAAATGAAGTCATCAGAAACAAACTGACATTCGCATTTATAATATTAGGTTAGGTTGTTTAATTAATTAACGTTTTTGGAGATATGGCAGACGATCATACGGGGGTCAGCCGCCCATTGACGCCCGTAACTCAGGAGTCAGAAGCGTGTTGCCGTTCTTTGAGTCTCTCTTCCCCATAAAAGAGCGTACTCCCATTACGCTCTTTTCGTGAAGGTCGTATCGGTTGGGAAATGTGTCTTAAGAGACGATGAGAACAAGAAAAAGAACTTCGCCAAAATATACGAAAAAAGGTGCAGTGTAATATATTATTTAATTATGCCGAAATATGATCAAGAACAATAATAAACATTTACTGTCAAATGCGAATTGTACGAGAACAATTAACAAAAAAGATTTCTTTCTAAGAATCATCCTCTAGATGTTTTTATGGTATGCATATAAAATATTTATGATTGGCTAAAACATCCGATTTATCTTTGCAGTTGCATGTCTGTCCGATCGCTATTTTATTTTGCGCGAAAAGACAGCTGCACAAACACATTGTCCGGAATACTTTGGTCGAAAACGATATAATAAAAAAAAGTCAAGCATTGATACCTTGAACACAGCACTATATAAAAAAAAGAAAAATGATTGTGGCACAAGATGAGGCAACGACAACGGTTAGAGACGGCCTTATAGATTTTATTACTTATAAATCGGTGGTATTTATACCTGTGATTCGAAAAGAATTTACAAAGTTTTTTTTCGTGTCAGAAACCGAATGTATTCGATTCCTTCGAATTCGATCCATAGATGCACAGAATAAAAAATCTATTTTGATCTACCTGCTGTTTTATTTCCCTTTTTTACCCTCCGCGACAGGTAACATAAAAAAAGAACACATGCGAGTTCTCTATACAATTATTCTCAATAATATTAGGTAGAAATAATATTTGGGATGTATTTTTGTATCTGTGTGGTGACGGATTAAGAATGCGGAATGTCTACTACGCATGACAACAGCACTGCAAAAAGAAGAAAACTTGACACAAACCCTTTACCAACCCGTCTGGACAGCGTGGTATAGTGACCCAAATCCTCCTTTCTAAAGATAAGCCTATGTCCAGCACTGGATTATTAAAGGGTATCGATGTTGTATGTTTGAATTTTTTGATAGTTGCATTTGACGTTTGTTTTTAAAGTCTAATTAATGAGAATGAGCTTTTTAAAAAAAAAAAAATGTTCTTTAGTCTCTTACTGACACCTTTTACGACTATTAATAGGATTGTCT